CAAAGTTCGCAACTTTTGTATACTTTTGTATTACGTGCGGAAATTTCTACCACATTTGGGCCGAAAATGTAACTTATTGGATTGCATTCATTTACTTAAACGAAGGTGGCGAGCGAAGAAAATAGTTTTGAAGAGATTCAACAATAGGTCGACAACGAAATCACAGAAGAATGCAACAGTATCTTCTTGAACTTATTGTCTGACCTTGTAAATTGGTAAACATATGGCGTCTATGAATCCAACTTGCATTTTAGGGAGGTCATCTTTCTTCTTCCTGTCCATCATTGGCTTAAAAATAGAGAATGACAAACATAGCGAGTCTTTTTAGTAAGTCTAACTATAAGTACGGTGGAAGAAACTGCATAGCTCGAAATCAGTAGTGGTTGTATAAAACATTTTTAGGCTCTTTAATTTCTCGGCTAGCCAAACACAACGTTTTTGCAACTTTCTCATCCCGAAAGGATGTGACAAGGATTAGCATTAGGATTAAGGTTACTGTTCAGGACTGTGAATTCCTCGGATTAGGGTAACATTAAAATAAAAAAACGTCAACATTTGGCCTTCAGTTTCATAGAAATACTCACCATTGGTTCACTTTTTAGTTCATCTCTTTCAATATCTCCTTGTTCAAAGAACTCACTCGCGACCAATTTAGCGACCTGAAATGTGAGATGATTTGAAAATTAAAATATTTTTATGAATGTTATTTTCAAATTTCTTTTGTTTCGCCTTGGAGGTCGGGCTTACGCTGCTGTTTATTTTACGCGACGCCAAAGGACTTGAAACGAGCAATAAATCTTATATATATACTGTCTTTAATAATCTCTTTTTTCTTTTGTCTTCGTTGGTTCCCAGGACTTCTCGGCGAACGAGGATGCCCCAAGGGCTCTGGATACGAGAATGGAGGATTCCCAAAAAAGTATTTCTATTTGACAACTAATCCCAGTCCTTTTGCGTGTTACCTCATTATCCTGTCATTAATTATTAGTTGCATAATATTACTTACAGTTTGTTGTATGGGCCAAGGTTTGGTGATTGCGGAGACATCGCACGCTGTCATCATCATTGCCCTACAACGAATGACAAACAAGATCACTTTTAACATATATCAAAAATATATACACAATTATACGTTGGGCAACGTAAAGCTGGAGTAATACGAGCAACAAAATTGCTGCAACTTGCAACAAAATCTGATTTCAACGCATGTTAAGTAGAAATGTCGACACATGTTGCCTCGTGATTTGTAATTTATGTGTAAACATTTTCAATTAACATGTGTTGAAATCAGATTTTGTTGCAAATTGCAGCAATTTTGTTGCTCGTTGTGACAGATTACACGGGTAAAAATTGATCAGGTTGTTCAAACAGTAGCGAACAATGTTGTGCTGCACCCCGTGAACAATATTGTTAACAAGTTGTTCCGAGTTGTTCAATCATCAATATTGTTGCAAGTTGATAACATGATTGTCAACAAGTTGCAACAACGTTGATGGTTGAACAACTTGTTAACAATATTGTTCACGGGGTGCAGCACAACATTGTTCGCTTCTGTTGTGAACAACTTGCATCAACATGATGATTTTTACGCGTGTATAATGAGGCAACGCTATTGTGATGTTACACGTACTTCATGTAATACAAATTATAGAGGTTTTACTGTACATTGAAGCATTGCATGTCAAAAGCATTGCATTTTAAAGCAAATTGTATGGATTTTTTTTAAATAAAAGACCTTTTCGGGAGACTTATGTTTTAATTACAAAACTATTCATTTTCCAACATATATATGTTAGGTATGTTATTATACGTAATATAAGCTTCAATTTAAGGTAAAATTCAACCACAAACGCTTCGCAAAACGGTTTAAAGTGTTCTCTATAAAACTAAACTGCCTTTAAGTTTAATTAAATGGCTTTATCGATAAACTTTGAGATTGCAATAAAATGATTTCAAATTCTCGCATGCAAATAACTTTGCTTTATTTTTTATTTAAAAAATTCAATATAATAAAAAAGGGAATCAATATTAAAGATACACTGAAATGATATGCTGTCTTGTTTAGTTGTTTCATATACGTAAAGGCCGTCAGGTTTTAAAGCAATTATAAAATCAATATTTAAAACAAACTTACCTTCGTTAACGTCGGCTCCCTTCTTTTAGCCGTTTCTTTCGCCCTTTCTTTCTTGAAATTTACAAAATCTTGCACAAATGCGAGCAAAAATGAAATATATTTGCAAGAAATTTATCAATCATCAAATCAAGAAATGTTTGCTATTTCGCTGTCGTCATGCAGTCGTTATAATGCAAACTTTAAATTGGACCAATCACAGTGTTCGCTATTCAAGACAGTCCGCCATATTTTTTAGATCAGTGAGGATGACCACCCACGCACAGTGAGCCACGCCCGCGATCATTGGTGAACTTTAGACTTCGCTAATGCTTTCGTTTCCCCGGGTGTAAATAGCCGGGGGAATTAATACCTTGATTGCTGACACTAGCCTGCTTTAGATCGATTGTACTCTTTGTTATATATATAATATTTGTGTTATTAGTGTGTGTTATGTTACTTTATTCATGTATCTTTTGAATTTGCACGCCCTCCTTGGAAATCAGCATTTGCTGAAGGAGTAAGCGTGTCTAAATAAAGTTTCATCTTATCTTATCTTATCTTATCTTATCTTACATGTCCCCACGCGTCGATGTAGCATTGTTCCAGGATCTTTCGCACACGATTTGCTACGAACTGACGGTGCTCCCCATTTCCAAAGATCCAATGCAAGGCCACAGTGCTATCGGTCCAGCCATGTACCGAGATGACATGCAGGGAAACCTTCAAGAGCACGCGCAAGTAATCTGCGATATGCCATGTTGCAACAATCAACTCCAGTCGAAGAATAGTAAGACCTTGCTTCGCTAATCTGGATTTGGCGGCTACCAGGCCTTGCGTTGAACCACTTGGCTGGCGAACTACGGCATAAACTGCAGTAGCGACTCCGTGACAGGTTGTGTTGCCGAACGAATGCAGCTCTATCGTTTGGATCGGTTCACGATATGTAGCCAAACTCCGGGGTGTTGATATGAGAGGAGGCAGGATACATTCCCATGCTTTCCAACGCGTCGCCAGGTTTTCGGGCAGTGGAGAATCCCACGCCTCACACATGAATCAACGCGAATCCAAGTGGATCGTAAATACTCGCCAGCTTTGCAAGAATTTCTCTTTTCGTTGACATGTCTTGATTCTGGGGGAAAACCACACTCAACATATCGTTGCGTTTGTCTCAAGTCACACCAAGGAGTTTACTGCCACTTTCAGAGGATGGGGGGAATTGTTGCTTGGCATAGATTTGGTGAGGAAGATTGGTTCGATTTAAGTTCAGGGGCGTTCGAATTCCACTTGTGGAACTGATCATGAAACGAAGTATCTTCGAAGATGGTAATAGCATCTTGCTTCAGATCACTTGCTGAGGAAACAGAAGAGGCACGCGATATGAGATAATCTACGTAAAGATCCCGTCACCAATGTTTGCTGACGATCTTACGTTAATGTCAAGATTAAAACGAGGTCTTGATAACATGCTTGACAAGTTCATCACTATAGCCTAAAATGGAGACTTACTTTTAATGAGAAAAAAAAACTGTTGTGCTGACCTTCGGAAAAACGAGATAACATATCGGCAATTATGAACAGAAGGTGGCTTAGAGGAGGTAAAGAAATCATGGAGAAAAGTATCTGGCATAATCTTGGAAAAGATTGGCACACCGACGTTTCCAGCCTAATTCCAATACTAGAGGCTGCAAAGAAAGGTCAGACTATCGGTATTGGTTTAGCAAATCTGGGATGTAGATTTAACGGGATGAGTCCATTGGTGGCGACTAAGCTGTGGGTACGGATTGCTCTGCCGAAAATGTTGTACGGTGCTGAGTTGTGATGGACAAGATCTTTAATTTTTATATTTTTTTCTCTAAGCTTGGATCGGACCGCTCATTAAGAATTTTGTACATCAAAACGCTTTTCAAGCTATGACGTCTTACATCGAGCGCGGACCATTGCAGATTCTCCAGTACATTTGCCGAGTTAACATCAAATCTTGCTCCTGTTATAACTCGCGCCGCTCTATTTTGGAGCACCTGTAATTTATCTTTATGAACCTTACCGCATGTATCTCACAAAAGGGGGCCAAAAATGAAAATATGGCTGAATCAGTGCTTTATATAACATCTTTAAAGAACGCAAAGGAACAAAGGGTTTAATTCTTCTTAAGGCACCAATTTCGGAACATTCTTTTTGCACGAGTTCTCAATGTGAATATCAAATATCAACCTATTGTCAAGGTCAACCCCTAGACACTTTTGGGAAGGGACCGATTCAATGATACTATTATTCATAATAATACTATTAGTTACTTCATTGCCTTTAGCGCTCAAATTATATACGGATCCTATCAGCATGAACTTTGTTTTTTCGCATGCGACTGAAGTTTATTTATGGTTAACCAGTCTATTATATTAACTAAGTCAGAATTTAATTTATATCGATAAGATCTTCAGTATCGTGAGAAGAAGCGAATATTTGTGTATCGTCTGCATATAGACATGGAACTGTTGATTCAAGACAATTTGGTCGATCATTGATATAAATTGAAAACAACAAGGAACCTAGGATTGACCCTTGAGGAATTCAACATATTATTTCTTTTTTCGTTGAAAGAAAACCGTTTACAAATGTTTGTTGGTTTCGGACAGTTAGATATGATTGGAAACAATCATATTCCACTCCAGTAATTCCAGTTTCTCAAGAAAACTCTCATGATCAATGGAATCAAATGCTTTGCGAATATCTAAGAAGACAACACCAGTCAGTTTTCCGTTGTCCATATTTTCAACCAACAAGACGCTCTATGGAGCGTTAACTCTCTGGGGCTATACAACGGACGCACATTACTGTTAAGATCTAAAGGCTGATTACCACTGTTGCGTTTTTCGTACGCACGTACACGCACGTAAAACTTTGAATCCTTCTATTTTTAAATATTTTACAAATAAGTTAAGCCTGGTCACAGAATAAGGCACACAGAAGGGCCACTTACGTCGGAAGCTTTGAAGTTTCTGTCACCCTGGCCGCCATCTTCCTAGCCAGTCGATTACATTTTCTGGCCAATAAACGCGCTGTATTGGCTGAAGGCCCCGCCTTCTGGCCAGTCAACTGCATGTTTTTGCATAGAAAAATGGTGACACGTTGCAGCGATGAGTGACCCTTCTGGAACTGATCTTTATTCTGTGGCCTGGTTCACATATATGCCTGCGACGTACCGGCGACGATACCGGTGCTAGCTTTAAAACGTAAATTATGTGAACATTTGTTCGCCGATTGCCGCCAGTGCCTCAGTTACATCGGCGGTAGGCCGGGAAAGTTGACTTGAATTCAACTTTGCCGGTATTTCGGCGGCAAGTAGAGGCATAATGATACAGTCGCAGGCATACCGCAGGCATTTCCGCATATGTGAACCAGGCTTTAACAAATTCATACTAAAACTTGCGGAGCAGTAAATTCTGTTGCTTTATTTATTTGGTTATTTTATAAGTAACATTTAAACAGATTTAAAGGTTTATGTGCGTATATTAAAGTGGAAGTCAAGTCCGTAATGTAAACAAACGGTTTGTTTACATTTTGAACTGCTGTATTTTTTAAAATATGATGTACTGTCTGAACATCTAACAATACAATTTCGCTTGATTTTCAAAGGCTATGGTGTTTAGTATAAATACTGGTGTTTAGTAATACATTTGACATCTGTATTAAGTACAAGTTCTTACGCTGAATCGAACGGTGGTATTTTTATCCTTATTTGCGCCATTAATAGGCATTACAAATACAATAGAGACCTTAAGATTGACGTTTACGGCAGACGTCAAACCGCTAGCGAGGTTTTTGATTTTACAACTCTATTATAATAGCTTTTACACCAGTTTTGTAATATGTTAAACTTATTAAACTTGTGCTCTTTAGCAATGATTTAAGAAAGCAAATTAACCACTAGTCATGCCATTCACCAAAGCAGTAAA